CCCTATCCTGCCGCCTGACCAGAGAGCTTCTCTGGCCAGGATGTCCCTAATTCAGTCAGGATGCCCGAAGTCCAGAGAATTTCTTTGCACTTCTTCTGGACTGCCCTGCCGCTGCTTTGGTTTCTCTTTTCCTCTCCTTTGCGCTTTGATCTCATTGAAGAGTTCTTACTACTCTTGAGAAGGTCATTCATGGCACACCATCATAGTTCATCATCTATGACTGCCTCCCGTCTTTGAAGGACAAAGGAGCCATAGTCCTCATTTCTCCGAGCGTCGGCCAGCGTGATGTCACCTCTGCTTACCCAAGCCAGGGCCGCATACGCAGCCAATCTCGTGAGGGTACCCGAAACCTCAATCACCAGGGGGTGATTGGGTATCTGTTGAAGGACCCCCGAACAAAAAGAAGGAGTTCCGCTTGTTGCCCGCGAAGGCTACAGCACAGACCTCAGTCGTTCTTCCCCTCCTATGGGCCAAACCTCGCTGTTTCGCCCACTTGAAAGGACTCCCAATGCCGCCATGATGGCAGAAGCTGGAACCTCAATGATCCCCGGGGCCCCTTTTAGGGCCCATCTCTAGGCAAAAGGTCTGCCCAGGCTCCGGCTCCACCTGCTCCGACAGGCCCAACTTGCCTACCAGGGTCCCTCGTATGGCCTTCAAAAAGCCATCTTCCCGCATCTCCCTGGGGATGCAAGAATGCAAAGACCTCCTCCACCATGGAACGATGCCTCCAAGCACAAAGACCTCGGAGAATCGTGGCCCCCCATTACCGGCGAGCTCATAGGGTCCAACGCCATTTTCAGGTCCAGTGGCTCCTCCTCCACTTTTCTCTTCTTGACAATCCCTCCAGTCCAGTGGCTCCTCCTCCGCTCCCTCTTCTTTGAAGCCAAGGCCGAGGTTGAAGTCAACTCCTCGCCCTCTTCTTTGAAGCCGAGGTTGAAGAAGAACTCTTCACCCTCTTCCTTGAGGCCAAGGCCGAGGTTGAAAACAACTCCTCACACAACTCCTCACCCCCCCTCGCTCTCCTCTTCTTGGAGCCAAGGCCGAGGTTGAAGCCAACTCCTCACCCTCTTCTTTGAAGCCGAGGTTGAAGAAGAACTCCACACCCTCTTCTTTGATGCCGAGGCCGAGGCCGAGGTTGAAGACAACTCCTCACCCCGAGGTTGAAGACAACTCCGAGGCCGAGGTTGAAGACAACTCCTCACCCCCCCCCTGACACTCTTGCAAAAAGGAGGTGAGGATAGCGCCCCCCTGATTGGCGTGGCAACGGGCCCTACAGACCATCCAGCCTGGGCAACCTGTGGCAGCCCAGTGTGCGCGGCTAGGTGCCGTGGTGCGAAGAGCCTCATCAAGGAACCCGTTGGCCTGGGTGACATCGTACCAAATTGCCGCTGTGAGAAAACCACCGCTTGCATCCTTCCAACTTCAACAAAGTGTGAATTTGCTTGAATTGCCACATGGACGCTGGCGTGTGTCCAGACATCCTGTCATAAGAACTCTTGCCTAGGCCTGCGGGCTGTCCCATGAGGCCTATTCTGCGCTGGCATGCAATGTGACGCTTCAGGGCCTCCAAGGAAAAATTGGCCAGAATCATCTCAAATTCTGCCTTGAAAAAGCGGTCTCCCTTGTTTCATGGGGACCCCCTCAGGCATGTGGAGCTCTTCAACGGGTACGGACCCAGATCACCTGCCCCCGCTGCACTTGAGAAGGTCGAACAGGGCGGTGCCACCATGACTGCGTAGTAGATGCCTTTGGCTATGAGTTGCAGCCATTTCTTCTGTACAGCTGGTATGGTGAAATCTGCTTGTCTGACATTCTGGGTGTTCAATTGTGTGATCTCCACCTGGACCCCCCTTCGTAGTGCCAGCTTCCTCAGGAAGCCAGCTACTGATGTGCGCCTGTTCCTCCCTGTGAAAAAGTAACAAAGCTCTGCAACGGGTACGGACCCAGATCATTTGCCCCCACTGCTCTTGAGAAGGTCGAACAGGGTGGTGCAACAAGGACTGCGTAGTGGATGCCTTGGGCAATGAGTTGCAGCCATACCCTCTGTACAGCGGGTATGGTGAAACCTGTTTTTCTGTTGTTGTGGGTATCCAATGTGGTGAGCTCCACCTGGACGCCCATTCGTAGTGCCATCTTCCTCAGGAAGCCAGGTACTGATGTGCGCCTCTTCTCCTCTGAGAAAACGTAGAGGACTCGCAGAGTCCCTCATTCTGTCCCCGTCGTATCCGGGGCTGTGGCCTCTTTTCGATTCTTTGGGTTGCATTCGAAGAGCGGGTGCTTCTCACTGAAGCATATCCCGCACACATGGCGGTATTTGCATTTGGCCGCCTTGCATTTCTCACCCGGTGTGTTGTACCTAAAGCAAATCAGATCACCCTCAGGCGTGTGGGTGGCGCAGTGCGGGCTCCCTTTGCCTTTGCCCTTCTTCCCTTTGCCCTTTTCCTTGCCCTTCTCGCCTTTCTCTGGGGCCCTCCACTTGTCTGGTGGCTGTTCCCGCCACGGAGGCAATGGCCGCTTGGCGTAGAGTGCCAGCGGTGTTGTGAAATTCCGCTCTTTGACCGTGGCATCCTTCCATGCTATCTTCAGTGCCACCGTGTACGGCTTGCCTTCCGCGTTGACGATCTTTACTGCCTGCTTCCGGATTGCCCTCTCATAGGCAATGACCAACTTCCAGGGTGGTGAGGCAAACGTTTGGCCTTCGGCATCCTTGGCACTGAGCCCATACACATAGTTTATCCAGCAAATAATCTTTGTATTGCTCGATTGTTTCCTCCCAGGTGCCTTGAAGCTCGTGTCTGTTGGAATGCTTCAACGAGATCATAACCATTGCATTCTTCAAGACCGACAATCTTCTGCGTAGTTCTTCGGCGTTCGCCGGTTCCTGCACTTTTGTGGATCCTCTCTTCATGGCCAAACGGCCCTTGGAGTCCCAAATGGGCACCACACAATCCGGCTCAATTTCTTCTTTCGACACAACTTCTGTGAGCTCCTCAGCCCGGTATTCGCCGCCCTCAATCTCGGCCAACTTCTTTTCAACATATTCTTTGGCGGGGTACACCTTGTCTTCCAAGTGCCCGTACCTCTTCTCCAGGGCTGACCGCATCGCCGCCCATTCCCCCGCCACCACTGGCCTTGACCATTGCAGCGAATCGTACTCTGCGTCCACCTCCGCTGCCCTCTGGCTCCTCGTCTTTGCATTACTGAATGCACGCGAGATTGCGGCCATGTGCACTCGTTCATCCAAAGCCCTCTCTGCATCAAGCTCCCAATGCTCCTTGAGCACTGCTGTAAGATCATCTCTGTCTTTCGCAAAATTCGACAGCTTCTCCAGGGTGGTCACTCCATGATGGAAAAAGAGCTTCTGGTTGTCTATGCTGACCTCATGCCTGGAAAACAAGTACTTTATGTCTGCGCCGGCCGCGTCTAGGGCTTTGTTGCCCTCATCTTCCGTGAGCACCTTCCTAGGCATACCGCCCCGGATCTTGAGCCCACACCCTTCTGGACATACCGGCCAGATATGCAGCATGCGATGCTGCCATAAACACTGCTGTGTTCCCAGTGCATGCTACGCACTTGCCCCGTTCACATGCTATGTGAAAAGCAAGCCCTATGCGCCCTGTGAGGCGCGACCCCGCCTCGTCCGCCATAGGCTGCTCCCGCGCGCATGTTGCACACCGCCCCCAAGCCTGAGCGGCGCGCTCGGCTTAGAGTCCCTTTGCTTTCCTCCCCAGGTGCGACCTGGGCACATGCGCTCTTGCTCCCTATCCGCCCCTGGCGCGACCAGAGGTATGCGAAACCGCCCCTGGTGCGACCAGAGGAATGCGGACCCATCCGCCCCATTTCCTTCCTCCCCCAACAACTCTTTTAGTCGCTGAGGCTTAGCTCGTCGTGCGAGTCACTTGTGGACTCGCTCAATCGCTGTTCACCTCCACCCCAGCACAGCTTGCACCGGAGTGCATACTCCTCGGGCTCGGGCAATGCTTTGTGGATCTCAGACCGCACAAAGAACCTTTTCTTTGCCATCCAACAGCCCTTCTCTCCTAACCTGTGCAACGTGCCTCTCCCGGCACGCCTGTACACCACCACATAGTTGCCTTCTCTTTCTTCATCCAGGGTCTCCTTCACCTTTCTCTTCTTGGCATCCCTGGCTTCCGGCTCTTCAGTGCCCCCGTCACTCTGTGAGCCGCTGTAGATCGTGGTGGCTTCCTCTGACAAGGAAACTGCTGACGGCGGCATGCCCCTCGTTCCAATCTTTTCCTTCCAAGCTTCAACCACACTGTCTGCCATGTCCTCCGCCACTGTCCACTTCTCCGTGAGCCAAAGCTTTAGCTCTTCCAGAATTGACCCCTTGTCCAGGTCCTCGTAGGCCGTCTCGCCACGTAGGATTGTGACCAGCTTCTTCTGCATCTTCTTCACAATTGCGTTGTAGGTCCGGACATAGACGTCCGACCCCTCCGGGCACCACCTGCCAAGGTAATCCCTGTCGGACTTCTCAACGCCGAGAGCGGCCAAGCCACTGGGCAGTGTCGCCCTTTCGCTGTGCTCTGACCAAAACCTCTCCCATCCGGAGGGGATCAAATTGCCATCATAGCCCTCCAGCATTGCCATGGTCCTCGTGCTCCCCGCGACCGCCTCGGCATAGGTGACACGCGACGTCCCATACCTGGTGCCATAGAAACAGCCCTCAGGGAATGCGTACACTCTGTCCCTCGGCATCTGCAGTTTCACCAGCTCGAAGCCTATGGAGAGCCAATCACTATGCAGCACATAGGCATCCTTCGCAATGTAGATTGGCAACTCTCGTACTCGCTTCCCTGCCCCTGAGGTTTTCGACTGGTGCATCATTCCCATCAGCTGCCCATCATAGAACCTCAATTCCGACATCTTCAAATGAGCTGCATCGTCAAACCTCATCGACGTCCAGAGCTTGAGGAGCTTGAACCAGGCGCAAACCCTGACCTCGAATGGAACCGCCCCATCCACGACCAGGGTCTCCATTGGGGCCACGAAACATCCTAACCATCGCGGTGCCCTCTTGATCGGAGGTGCATTTGCCTCCAGCTTCCTTGTTAGTTCCCTCATCACCATTTGAGGGAAGACCTGGTTCATCAGCTGCTCCTCCTCCTCCACCCCGGCCGTCCTCTCAAACCAAGCCACCGCCGTGCTGACTGCCAGCGGTATGGAAGGCCCCATGCCTTCCTCCTCTCTGGCGTACACACCACACTGCTCGGTCTATGCCCGGGCTCACCCAGTGACTCAGCCCACACCCTGAAGCGCTGCCATGATGCCAGGTACCGCCGAATCGTTGAAATGCGGTACTTTCCAAACAGAGCTTCCTTCGCCCTCAGAGGGTTCCTGGACTTCTTGATCTCCTCAAGGACCGGGGCCTTAAATCTTTCCAACTCATCGACCAGCTTGCAAAGGACCTTCTGGTCGACCTCATTCTCTGCTGCAATCCGTCCACTCTTCAACCGAACCGTCCTACCCAGTGTGCCTCTCTTAGGCAATCCCGGCAGGACGAGGGTGCTTACTTGAGGCTCGAGGGTTGTCTTCCTCTCCTTCTCCATGTGTGCCCTCGCATCCAACACATTCTGCATGGACCTCGTGGAAGAAGACCCCGCCACTCTCTCATCTAGATCGGCCATCTGCACGGCCTCTCTCACCTGGCCGGTGATGAAGACCACATGCCATGGCGCCTGCTCTATCCCTAGCCTATCGGCGAGTTGTCTCGCCAGCGAAGCCTCGGTCCCATGGCTTACGGCCAGCTTGGCCCCCACGAGACCCACCTCGCTCAGGAGGTTGAGCATTTTGGCGCTCGTTTCAGGATCGGGGGTGTACACATCCCCATCCATACCTCCTAAAGCAACTTCGCCTAACCCTCGAGCCTACAAGCAGGATGTGTCAAAATCGGTCATGACACGTCATGAGTGAGTTCTTCGTCCTTTGGCCAACCGGACGAGAAGATTACAGGCAACGGACGGAACGGAAAAAAGACAACGGACGGATTCACTCAAGTTAAGCCACGAAGAGTTGTTGAAGACATCTTGAACACTGGTCTCTCCCAGCTCCACTGGATTCAACACCTTGAGGACCTGCACCAAGAATAGCTTTCAGGCAGGATCCACCAACTATTAATTTAGTACATGTTCAAACATGTTCCTCAAATTGACCTCTGTCGAAACGCCTTTCAACTCAGAAGGCAATCTTCTCTGGCAGTGGATCCTAATCATAGCTGCATCCAAGTGCCTATGTATTCACTTGGATCGCTTCAAGCGTCAGAAAAAGTTTAGGGAGTCTTGCTCTTTCAAATCTCCTTTGTTGCTTCTGGTTAGAACTCGTTATAATTTGTCTGTATGTTAGTTTTGCTATTGAATATGGTGTTTATGTGCTTGCCGATGAGGCAATCTAGTGAGTGAGGTACGCGAGTTGTGTTTGTTGTATGCTTTCATGTGATTGTTGGAGCCTTGTTGCTTGTGAGGTTGGTCTGCTTTGGTTGTTTTACCTTGTACTTCTTTAATGGTTTTTAGTATAGCTACTTGGCGTGTGCAGATTGTGTTCTGCGGACATTTTGAATACCCTCTGGGGCAGTTCCTGTATGCTGGTTTATGAAGCCTTGCTTGGGAATACAAGTGATGCTGTTTGCAGAGAGGGTTGCTGCCAATGTCACCCAAGCCTGGGTCAATTGTTGCATGAGAGCTTTTTCACTGCGTTGACGAAAACGAGTCAATGATTACTCCAGTGATTACGAGCCAGAAGTGTACAGCCGATCTTCCTGGTAACCTGGCTAAGTTTCGTCACCCGGTGTTTGGCCACTGTTTTGCTAAATATGTGTGTATATATATATATACAGTATATATATATATATCATATATCAATCTCTTCAACCCTTTTTTGATGCTAGATTCAGAAATTGATTCCGGTGGAGACCTGGCTCCTGGAATTTCACTCTGTGTTAGTTTCCAAACCTTTGCAAGGTGGATCAAGGGGCAGGAGTGGCCATGCATAGGTGTTACAGTTGCTATCAAGTGATTTTTCTATGCCCTTTTCTGGCTCAGAAAGTAGCCCTCACTAGGTACCCACACTCATAAAAGACAGATTGACGCCCTCAGCCCCAACCAAGTCGGTCTGGGTCGCAAACGAAACTGAGAATGTCAGCTCGCGTTCTATGTTATCCTGAAAAATGTATGATAGGTGTCCATTGCAAGTTTGTTGGGCTTGCGTCTCTACAAAACAGCCATGAATTGCTTGTGGGACTCCAGAAATAGAAAAAAGGAAAGCCAAAACTTGGTGGCTCTCAGTTCAAGACTGTGCTTCAGTCAGCATATATTGCATCAAGCTTTCGACCACGGTTGGACAAACACGATCCTCCACCCTGGCCTCCTGCATAAGGACCTCCAACTTTGTCTCCATGCGCCAGACATCCAGAGCTTTTGCATTGCCACGGAGCCGGACGGCACCGTCAATAAACTCCATGAGCCTGAGATTATAGACTCTGAGACCACTAGCGCAGGAAAAAATAATAAGAATACTGTATATAGAGATATGTTGTGTATGTGTTCCTGTCAATCACAAGCCTGAGACCATCTGAGACCCATAGACTCGTGCACTGGGGAAAGTCCTATGTGTGTCCAAGGTTTTGCTTGGACCGTCCTGGAGCAAAGGGAAATTGAAATTCAATCAGGTTATCTCCAGCAAATGACCAATCTCAGTGCCAACAACGGCTGTTGAACAATCATGCGTGTATACTCAATGCAAAAGTGCTCAAATTGTGCTAGAAGTGGACCCTTCAAAACCAACCAGTCGATGGCAGTCACAAACCGGAACTGGCACACAAGCAAGACTTTGCAGCAGCAACAACTACGACAACAACTACTACCAATGTGGGATCCATGATGTGCTGATCTCCCATGTTATAACATCGCTACTGGAGGGTCATGGAACAAACGCAAATTGTTTGCAGATTATAGAAGTGATTTGAAACATCAAAAGTGGAGTTCGATGTCAAATTGTTTTGCTTGATGTAGGACCACACAATGTCAGTTTCACAGATTTGCGATGTCAAAACTCACCATTGTGTTATCCACTTACTGAGGTGCCTGCACAAGTGACAGCACACATCATGCACTGAATTCAACTACAGTAAGTCACGCATGATCTTCAAACCCGCATGTTTCGTAATGGTTCCATGTTGAAACGATCACCCGAACAAAAGTAGAAATAGAAAACAAAAAACTATATAGCGCTCCGTTAGGATAAAGAGATTTGCAAGAGAACGCACGGCACACGAGCATGAATCCAAGCATCGTAATCTCGCCGTCTCCATTGTCCAGGAATTCGAAAAGGCTGAGAAGATCGTGGTACTCTAACTCTAATTGGCTCATCCTCTCCGGCACAGTGACTATCTCATTCAAAAAGAAAAACGTAAAAAACGGGTCATCAGAACGTCGTCAAATTGTCAAAGGAACCGTATTCAACAGTTTTGTCTGCAAAAGACTTTCGCAGCACTTCTAAGTTGCAAATTGCACGCAGTAGCTTCCGAATCTGGCTTGGCTTGTAGCGAAAACGATCTACAACACAGTATTGAAGACAAAAGGACCGATTCAGAAACATGAACAATGTGTTCATTTCCCAGCCCGGCTCCAGAACTGCAGCTTGGGCGATTTCACCAACTTTGAGAACTCTTCCTGGCAGGCAGAACGCAATAGAAAGCAAATCCTGTTGGGCTGCTTGGGAGGGAAAGCTCGGCTGTGGAAAGCACTCCAAGAAACTAATGAAGAAGTGGAAAGCACCAATGGTTCTTCACATGAACCGCTTTCAAGTCTGTGTCTGTCTGGTTGAAAATGTCTTGCGCCAATCGATCAAATTGAACAGGCCAACACCTCTGTTTCAGGCTACTAGCATTCCTACCGCTGCCAGTTCGAAACCACAACCACTACATACCAGTGCTATTTGTATTGCTATGTCACTGCAACTGCTACGAGTACTACCACTTGCTTCTTGAAGGGGAAGGACTCCCACAGGACTATGATGCAATTTACCATTGAATGTATTTGGTATCAATCCTCTCGTTCTCTTCTCTTCCTTTAGCAATCAATCCACGACACAATTCGCCTCAATCCCTTCATGAGATTATGGAACTCTCTCTCTAGTGACAAGGATTTGTCACGTCTGTAAAAACTCTTTGTGGAACTCTTTAAGCATCTGTTTTTGTATTGCTCTGATTTTCTTTTCTTTTATGGTTTGGATCGTCGCTTTTTGGTGGCTGATTTCTGATGTGTTATGTGGTTGGCTGCAGTGCTCTGCCCGCACCATCTTCTACAAGTACAGTTCATCTTGCACATCAGCTCAGCGTCCAAGTTGATGGAACCATCCCCGGAATAGTCGATGGTTGAAAAGAGCTTCTTCACCTGTGGCAGCTTCAGCGACTTCCAATTCATCAGTCAAAAATACCTTGAGTTTGACAATCCTCAGCCATTCCAGCTAAGCGAAGAACCTGAGTTGACCTCATTGATAAGTATTCATAGTGAGCTTGACATTGGATCGTCCATCATCGTCTGAAAGTACATCAAAAGTCAAAAGCATGCGATCACGGCATGCGGCCTTCTTGGTATAAGTGGCCATGTCCTTTTGCTTTTGCTTGAACGCAAGGTCTTCGTCCGAGCTGGCCGTCTTCATTGTTTGTTGGACCTCCAGTGAGCGAAGAGAGTTCGATTTGCACTCGAGATTAATAGCTGCAAACGTAATGACAAAAAACCTGCTGTCCCAAACAAATCCAATTTTACGCTGTAGCTGCAAGGCTTCGATTGTCGCCAAGAAGCAAAGACCGCGTTCACGACATTCAAAACGGCAAAGCCTAGCCTGAGCGTCGGAGGGTGAACCGATCGCATCTCTAAGACCTCTAAGACCGGCCAAACCCAGCGAAACATTTGGTTCACCTATGGGACCTATCACAAATTTTTAGGCGAAGCATCTGGGGCAAATTGATGAATCTGCTCTGGCTGCCATAGAAAGTGCCGACCATGTCATTTTCTGAGTTGGATGCCATACTGCTACAGTCAATGTCGTCACAACGTTGTGATTGTTCTCGAAACTGTGCCATGTTGTCCGCCCCTAACCTCAAAGCTAGATGACACCCTCACAGCGTGGAGGGCAGAACACACAAGCCCGGGAGTGGGATGTGGTTTGGATTTGTTTCGGTTGTGGTTTGTCTAACTTGGTTGATCTTGGTTGTTTCGAGAAACCGAAAAAAATTAGAAAAGGGGAGGGCATAGCACTTCCCCCGAGGCAACCGAACCAGAACATGTTTGGCCTTAAATGTTGGTTTCGGGTTGTGTGGGTTGACTTCGCTGGCCGGATTGTTGCGGTTTCACCTTGCGCATTTGGAAAAATATTTGCCAAGGCACTAAAATCACCAAAATGTCAATACATGTCAATACCAGTTGGACAAGGTAGTCTGTCAAAACCCGCACGCGATGAACTTTAGAGCAATCCAAGCGCTTTGGCCCCTCCCAAATCTCCGACACGGCACACACACCGATAGAAGAGAAAGAATGCTGAAAACCACTCCGAAACCTCAGATATTTGTGGTGACACCGTCATTTAAGTCTTGCACTCAAACAACGGTCAAATCTCAGGAGAAACAATCAGTCTTTCTATTGAAACAGCAAAGCTGCTGAAGAAACCTGATTCAAACACAAAGCACAAGTTGACGCAGGAAAGTCAAATGCACAAAAAAGGTTGGAGGCTATCGTGCCGTGCCAACAAGCAGATTCATCCTACGCGGCTCGGATATTGACGTCTGCCCTAGCTAACAACATCAATTTTTTTCAAAGTCCAGGTCGCATTGTCCACCAACACTCGGCATGGTGGCCCCCAGTTCGCAAACATGATCTCAAACCTTGGCTCAGAATGTAACTTGAAGGGCAAAGGATCCAGGCATCAGGGAGGGAGAGAGAGAGAGAGAGAACGTTGTAGGTGGTGGCAGCTTATCAGCAGCTCGCCCCACCGCGCAGTTCATAGAGTATGCTAGGCAGCGGCAGCAGGAGCAGCAGCAGCAGCGGCAGCAGCAGCAGCCGCAGCGGCAGCAGCAGCAGCAGCAGCACGCGGCGCCGCACCTCAGTCCGGCGGCCATACCGGTCATCCAGTAAGGTTCCTTAGTTGCGACAACCATCGCAAGATGGTCTCATCCTCAGTCCAATGTTGCATTGTCAGGCCAGGTGAGTCCAGCTTGGTACGTACTCCTTCCGACAAGGAACACGTGAGAAACACTCTCCTTTCTCATTTTATTGTAACACGCCGGACTCACCGACGAGCCACTCAGGATGGCACAGCCATCCGCCTTGCCCACTTCCAACTGTCAGCACAGTATCGAAAATCGGGAAACGAGTCCCGGCGCCCTGCACTTTGGCGCTTTGACCACAAGATCTCCGCGCGCTTTCGCCGAGATTATGGAATGAAAAATCCAGAGCTGGCTACTGGGCACCACAAAGGGGAATAGGGGGAACATGAGGGCGCTTCCACCTCCAAGGCCCCATTCAGAAACACATCTGTTGACGATGCCAGGGAAACCCTTCGGAGTCCACAGTCCAGCTCTTTTGTTGGCTTATCACCACGCAGCCGCAAAATGGCTTAAAGTGATACGTGAGAATACATGGAGCTGATGCCCTCGTATGTCGGAGCCACTTAGATCCGCAAGTTGGTTCACCAAGCGCGCGAATAACGGCCCCCTGCACTTTCAGGAGTTCACTTTGGCGCAAGAGAGAAAGAAACAAACAAACAAAGAAAGAAAACGAGGCGGCGGTCATTAGTTTATCTACGAGACGCTCAGCGCGCGACGGCAGACTGAGACCGGTGGGCAGTATGAGCACGTCCATCTTCTTTGGTCTTCAAGACGGGCGTTCATAGTCAGAGGTCCAGAGGGCCAAAGATTGATGGGAGGACCCAGATGGCAAACTCAATTTAGAATGTTCGCTAGATTCGGAAGGGGGTCTTCAAAAACTTGCTCGGGCCTGCAGCTTTCAGTTCCGCTCAGGTGGGTAAAGTGAGTCCGGAATCATTGCCAGCCGGTTTGGTTTGGTGGACCTCGTGTGTCCCGACAATGAAGTTTGGCAAAGTCAGTTTCCGACTAGAGGGTCAAACATTGAATCGCGCACTCTTCCGCGCAAGAACCCTTCTTGGCCGCGATGTCCCAACATTCCGAAAAAGTTTTCGCGGACCTCTGCATCTTTAGATCTCTGGGTTTCTAGACCTCTACACCTCTAGATCTGTCTGGATCTCCAGGCCTTTGGGTCTTTGTAGATGTAGACCTGCCTCAATTGGCCCACAAAACGTCTGCTACCTGGAATGGCTCCTCTAAATTCTACCCCCGCATGGCTCACAAAGGTCTACTACTCCTCTAAATGTTGCCCTCGTATGGCTCACAAAAGGTCTGCTACCCTGGCGTGGCAGGACAGACTGACAAACTGAAAGAAAGAAAGAAAGAAAGACAGACAGACAAACAGAAAGACAAGAAAAAAGAGAGAGAGAGAGAGTTGAAATCTAAACTGAGGGACTCTAGTCAGGCCGAGGGTTTGAGGCCATTATCTTGAATCTTGATCTCAAGTACAGCATGCAAGGATCATACAAATGCTTGCAAACACCTCAGCATCAGCAAAACACGCGGATACAGCTCTACGCCTACACCCAGACACAGGAGGCTTGAAGTCCAAAAACACCACCAGGTCTGCATATATCAAGAGATGAAAGGAACAACAACCTCATGAGGTCATGAAACATTTAGCCCAAACCGCCGTTCCTCACGCTCAGAAGATACAACGTAATACAACATATATAACTCCACACCCCAGTATTTGTCATGTCCGGGCTGCATCGTGAGAAAACTGCGAGTGAAGGTGCCATAGTACTGGTAGACCTGCAAATGCTTTCAGATTAGAGTGGGTCAGCTAATGTCAGCTTCTTGTTGCTAGTAAGGCCAGGAGCTACTAGTAGCGTCCTTGCTCCGTTCGTAGCGATGCCCTTTGCTCCTAGTAGCTTCTTCTTACTAGTGTAATGCACTTGTTACTAGTAGCGTCCTTGCTCCTAGTTACACATTCACGCTTCACAGCACTGGGTCACAGCGTTGACTATAGTACCCATACCATTGCTACTGGAAACAAGAACACTTGATCCAAGTCAGGCTCACTCAAAACGCCTTGGTTGTGAGTTTGAGTACACAGCGCTCCTGGCATCGCTACTAGGAACAGGAAGCTACTGGGGGCTCCTGGCCTTACTACTAGGAGCAAGGATGCTACTAGGTATCTTGACTGGCAACTGTGACCTCCTCCCTCACCGGCAGCGTGTAGGTCGGGTCTTCCACGAAATCCCGACAAAGTGTGCCTCAGCTTCTGCACGAGCTTCATCCCCCAACGGTTTCTATAGGTTTCTTGTATCTGGTAGCAGTACAAGAAAGTGAAGCGTTTGTTTGATCTTAAGATTCTCTAGCTTTCCACCACCCCAACAGGCATGGTGGAGAAACGATTGGGTCAAACAGACTGAGGCAAATTCAGCCCTTGAATTTGAGAGCTAAGCTTGATCCTGACAGGAAGTTCTGGCCTTTTACGCGGGGGTCGAAATTCTCCGGAGACTTTGGTCGGATCCACTGGGACCGGTCCCCACTGCGATTGCGCCAAGAGGCTGACGATGAGACACGCCACACCCTGGACCAATGTCAACAAGCAGAAGCTCCAGAAGAGCATATCGCGGCTGGAAGCCTTCCCAATCAGCAAAGCGGCAGGCAACAGGCGGCAATGGGTCCAGTCAAATCAGCACTCCCTTCACGTCTGGACGACAAGTTCATAGACCCAGGAGTCATATGAGTTACTTCTTGTTACTAGTAGTACAATGCTCCTAGTAGCGATGCCAGGAGCCCCTAGTAGCGTCCTTGCTCCTAGTAG